TATATACATATATATATATATATATATATATAAAGACCAATAATGGCAATATGTTATGCATCAATAGCAGCAACAGCTTTTCCAGGTTCTGCAGTCATTTGAACAAAATTGTAGTGACATCCAGCACACTCCATTTAAAAAAAAACAAAAAACAAAACAAAAAAACCCCAAAAAACCAACCAAACAAACTACAACAACAAAAAAGTAAAAAACAAAATCCCAGAAAACAGCACAGTTCTGTTACTCTTGTGGTACTTGGCACTATTTTTTTTTAATTAGCTTCTCAATCATCATCTGGGCCAAATCAAAAAACTTAAAGGAGATGAGTGAATATAGTTATGGTCCCTTTGCTACAGGCAGTTGGCCTGATAGAAACGTGGGACAAGCACATGGGCATATTTCCCCAAGGCTGGATATTTGCCCAGCCATGAAACAAAGCAAATTAGGATAACATGCTCAGGAAGACCTAGAAATGAAGGCAAGAGACCAGTGACTCCCACAGGAAGGATGAACTTGGGTCCTACATGGTCTGGGATAGTTAGTGGTGGAAATAGTGTCTATGGCTCCCTGTGGTGGCCTCAGGGTGGAGAGGAAGGCCAACAGGGTGGAGAGGAAGTGCGTAAGGATGCTTGCTCTGTATGCAGTAGGATATGAACTTGAATCCCCAGCACCCATGGCTATGTCTACCTACAGTAATCCTAGGGGTGTAGAGAAAGGCAGATTTCAAGAACTCCCTGACCAGCCAGCCTCACTGATTCAGTGAGAGACCACATCAAAGCCATAATCTGCAGAATGACAGAGGAAGGCATCCAATGTCCTGCTCTGTTTTCTGAATGAAATACAACACTCATATGTACCACACACATACATCATGCACACACACACAGAAAAGAAAAGAAAGACAAAGATGTGGGTTGGAGAGTGGGGAACAGGAGAGAAAACAGGTAATGTCTTAGCTCTATTTGCTGAGAATGGAGAGAATATTTAGCTGTAATTTGAAGGCTCCAGCAGCTCTGCCCTGGCTTACCATTGCCCACAGAAGTGGTCCTTGATAACCACACTCACCTTGTTTTTCTTTCTTTTTTTTTCCCTCATGCTTTTTATTTATTTTTTTATGATTGATACTTTTGAGACAGGGTGTGGCTTTCTCTATCTCAGGACTCAGACCTTGAAGCCAGAGACCTCCTGTCTTCACTATGCTCCTCCAGGGTCTAGTTAACCTTCCAAGTGAAGGCCATCAAAGCTGAAGTGGCTGAATTGGTGAATGACAGACATGTGTTATGTTTACACCAGAGCTGACCCAGGATCGCCAAGAGAAGAGAGGAAAGGAAGGAAGGTGGGAATGAGAAACAAGAGGAGGAAAAGAAGCCAGGAAGGATGGTGCTCCTCAAGGTAGTGTGTGCCAAGAGCTCACCTTTGTTCGTTGTTAAGTGTGAAAGGCTCACTTCATTTCCTTCAGTTCCTGGGAAAAGGTCAGGGGACAGCTTATTGGTTACTTCTGCATTCTGTGACCAAAGTAGCCAATAGAAACAACTTAATCAGGGAGGACTTGATTTGATTCATGGTTTCAGAGGTAGAGCAGAGAAATCTATGTCATGGCAGTTTCACCAATGTCCTGGTTGCTTTTCAAGATTCTTAAGTTAATAGTAAGATAGCCATCACTGGTCCTTTTGTCAGTCTGACATCTAAATGTAGCTGTTTATAGCATCCACTGTGGTCTTCCGCAAAGCCATGTGTCTTCTTTGTAAAGCAGACTGTACTCAGTTCATCTCCAAGAATTCCCATAATCTTTACAGCTCCAACATTACTCAAAAGCCCAAGTCCAGGGCTGGCTCGGCTAAGAAAGGCACTTGCTACCAAGCCTGACAACCAGGGTTTGATCCCTAGAACCCACATGGTAGGAAGCAGATTTGTCCTCTAACCTCCATACACATGGTACAATCATGCCCACATTCATACAAACACATAAAGTAGAAAAACAAACAGCAACAAAACCAACTAAATGAAGTCCAAAGTCTCCTCTGAGACTCAAGGCAACATTGGCTTTAAACCTCTGCACAAATGATGGGCGGTGGTGGCACACACCTTTAATCCCAGCATTCGGGAGGCAGAGACGGGGGATCTCAGTGACTTTGAGGCAAGCCTTGTCTACAAAGTGAGTTCCAAGACAGCCAGGACTGTTACACAGAGAAACCCTGTCTAGAAAACACAAAAACAAAAACATAACCCAAAACTTGCATACTCCCAATATACAATAGGGTAACATAAATGTCCTGATCCTAACCAGAAGAATGGGGATATGGGAAGGAATAGTTTGATAAAAGAAAGACAAAAACTTGAAAAACAAATGTTAACTCCTGTAGCTCCATGTCTCACCCTACTAGGCCACATGGTGTCATGATGTGACTTCTGATTCCAGCCCTATGGTCTTGCCCCTTACAGTGCATATGCCCTTCCCTCCAGGATGGATCAGCTCATTCCCTGTGGTTTCATTGGCCAGTTGTCCTGTGTTTCTGGAATTCCTGGCAGTTCCAAGTCTCCATTTCAGCTTAGACTTCACATCCACAGCTTTACATGTCCTCTTGGGGACTGCCTGTAGGATCCTGATTGTCACATGCTGCCTGGCCTTCAAGCCTTCCTTTGAAATACAGGTAGAAGTCTCCATGACCTCATAACTCATGAATTTTCCATGTTTGCAAAACAAGCATTATGTGGAGATAGAATAGTCTGACAGGCTTCCTTTGGACCTTGGCTAGAGTTTCCTCTGAGTGCCTGAAATGCTAACCCTTGGGGAAAGCCCCCCATAGGTGGCCCAGTGTAAGCAGGACCCCTGGATCTCCCAGCCCAGAATCTTTCTGTTTCATACCCATGAGTCTGCAATATGTGGGGTCTAACATGGCACTTCTTGAGGTGACCTCAAGTTTCTTTTCAATGGTCTCAATGCAAATTCATTGGTTTCTTTCTTTCTTTCTTTCTTTCTTTTTTTTTTTTTTTTTTTTTTTTTTTTTTTTTTGAGAAAGGATTTCTCTGTGGCTTTGGAGGCTGTCCTGGAACTTGTTCTTATAGACCAGACTGGTCTCAAACTCACTGAGATCCACCTGCCTCTGCCTCCCAAGTGCTGTGATTAAAGGAGTGTGCCACCAATGCCTGGCCATTGGTTTCTTTTTAAAGGCCCTAATTTCTTTCACAATCATGCCCTCCTTGTCTATAACTTCATCCTTTTTGTTTTTAGTCAAACTGCTAGTTTTTAAAATACTCGTGTGTGTGTGTGTGTGTGTGTGTGTGTGTGTGTGTGTGTGTGTGTGTGTATGTCTCGCTGTGCATGTGTGGAGGTCAGAGGACAACATGTGGCAATAAATTCTCTCCTTCCATCATGTGGGACCTGAGGATTACCCAAGTCATTAGGCTTGGCATCGAACACCATTAGCCAGTGAGCCATCATGCTAGCCTCAGACTGCAGTTTTAAAATCTTCCTGTTCCTGGACTGGAGAGATATTTTAGTTAGCTCACAACTGCCTGTACCTCCAGTTCTAGGTCATCCGACGCCCTCTTCTGATCTCTGGGGAGACTCAAACTCACTCTATAGGCAAGGATGACCTTTAACTAATGACCCTCCCTTCCACCTTCTGAGTTCTGAGGTTATAGTCATGCACCACACCACACCCCCACTTTATACAGTGCTAGAGACTGAACCCCAAGATTCCTGTGTGCTAGGCTGAGCTACATTCCCAGCACCCACATGGCAGTTCAGCCTGTCTGTAACTCCAGTTCTGGGGCTTCTGACACCCTCACATAGACATACATTCAGGCAATACATCAATGAACATAAAATTAAAAAAAAAAAGTATTAGCCAGACAGTGCAGGCACACACCTTTAATCCCAGCACTCAGGAGGCAGAGTAGAAAGATCTCTGTGAGTTCAGTCTGGTCTAAAAAGTAAGTTCCAGGACAGCCAGGGCTGTTAGAGAAACTTTGTCTCAAAAAACAAAACTAAGTACTGATAACAGACTGGTGGTTATTATCTTCCACACTTTAGAGCCCACTTCAAAAGTCCACTAAAGTCTAGAGAACTAGTGAGTGTGTGTAAAAATTGGCACATAATTGCAGACAGACCAAGTAACGAGTTCTTTGGACAAGGCCAGAGAGGGATATTTTAGCTCTTTTTTTGGCGGGGGGGTGGGGGGAGGGTTGGTTTTTCAGGACAGGGTTTCTCTGTGTAGCCCTGCTGCATTGGAGCTCACTCTGTAGATCAGGCTGGCCTCAGATCCCTCTGCCTCTGGAGTGCTGGGACTAAAGGCATGTACCACCATTGCCCTGTATATTTTAGCTCTTGTAGAACAACAGGAACTTGGATGTAGAAGGATGAATTTCAGGACCCAGGTGACCTGCCATCTGTCTCCAGCTCAGAGAGAGCCCTTAATCTCCTTGAGCCTGTTTCCTCATCTGTGAAATGAGGATCACGGCATTTCTTGAATATTTATACCTCATTTTTATGCAGGTATCACTTCCTACCTGGTGTTCAGCATTCATACCAGCGAGAGCTGGGGCTGCACACTATTCTGTTACTGAGCCTACTCTGCTGCTGCTGTAGTCTGAAAGACTGAATTATTCCTGCATGCCTCAAACGGGAGGGAGGAAAACATGTTAGGTGGGGATCTGAGTGGAGGAGCCCACTGACGATTAGGAAAAGAAATCACAAGACTCTACAACAAAAAGTGACGTTAGGACTGGGGATATGGCTCAGTGGTAGAGTGATCCCTGGCCAAAGTGAGTCTCCAAGTTCAGTCTCCTGTACTGGAGGAAAAGATGAGTCGACACCAGGCATAGTGGCCCATCCTTTAATTCTAGCACCTGGGAGGCAGAGGCGGGAGGCAGCCTGGTGAACATAGTGAGTTTAAAGTCAACTGGAGCTACGTAGTGAGACCCTGTCTCAAAACGACAAAATGAAACTAACAACAACACATGACACCGATACATGATTGCTTTCTTAAAACCAAAAGAGGTTTTTGCTGAAAGAGAAACTATAGAGCAAAGTTGAGTCCTTGTGCTTTTTCAAGCATAACCACAGCATGTCACACAAAGCAGGTAAAACTCTGCTGGGTTTAAGGGTGTAGAGGATTGGTCACTGAGGGGACTGTGACTCAGGTGTTCTTGCCAGAAATATGCTTCTCTCTCACAGCCCCCATGATAGGCAGGAAATGTGGGTGTTACCAAACTCTCTTTTCAAGTGGGAAATCTGAACCACAGCTTGGGTTAGTATTTTATCCGATTGTCTGATTCCAAAGCCTGAGATCTTTTACCAAATCCACACTTGTGGGTCAGCCCCACTCCCATGTCCCCCACCAAAGAGTGGACAAGAAAAACCTTCCTGAGGTTCTTCTCAGTAAAACCCAGAAAAGTCCACAAGCCCCCTAAGATGCAGTTCTGTCTGTGTTTGTAAAGTACATCCTCAGAGTTCAGATGCCTGTCTGCACGAGGAAATAAGTCCTCAGGCCTGCCATCTGGGAGTGGCCAGAGAACAACAGACTAAATAGGCCAGCCTTGTCCTTCTGGTTCCCAAACCTGAAGGGACTGTTCAATCTTGCACAGACCTTGCTGGCTCAGTGCATGATCCTTGCCAACATTTCAGGAATATCTCACCAAAGCCAAATTCATAGCAGGCTGGAGATGACCAAGGTGGGTGACTCGGTTAACACATTGAAATGACCTGGAAATGCATAGGAAGAGTTTCAGGGCTCACAAAACCCTGTGCTCTTCATTGTTTGCGGCCTGGGGAGTCAAAGTAGTGACCATGAACTGCCAGTGCTTTAGCAGTAGATTTCAGACACTCTATGGATGTGTGGGGAAGGGGAGAGAAAAGGGACCATGGCAGGCATGGAAGAGGAACACTTTGCTTGTAGAGTGGAAAGGCTATGCTTTAACTAAACTCTGTGTAACAAGGAAGTGAGACCCATGGCTCTTAGCTGGCTTCTGATTTCTGTTAAAGTGATAGGGGAACTAACGGATACTAATGTTTCTCGTTGAGAACCACAAGTCCCCCTTTTGGGCAAGATTCACCCACTACACACACCAAGATATATATGTTCTCTGACGACTCAAAACTTCAAGACGCACTACAGCACCCCCTCACAAACAGATAGATATAAGTTCTCTAACAAGATGCTTTATTGGCTTTGAAATCTGACTCAAGGCAAGGTGGTGGCGCACACCCTTAGACCCAGCACTCGGGAGGCAGAGGCAGGCGAATCTCTGTGAGTATGAGGTCAGCCTGGTCATCAAAGTGAGTTTCAGGATGGCCAGGACTGTTACACAGAGAAACCCTGTCTCAAAGAGAAAGAGAGAGAGGGAGAGAGAGAGAGAGAGAGAAATCTGATTTATCCTGAACTGTTATGATGACACTGATTGTCCTTCACTGATAAGATAAATATGGTAATTTGTTAAGCCTTAAAAAAGCAATCAACAAGGCTCATGGCCTAGCTCAGCTGTGATGGCCTGTCTTGAAAGCCTGATGACCTGAACTTAGTTTCCCAGAACATACAAAAAAAAAAAAAAAAGAAAAAAGAAAGAAAGAAAGGAAGGAAGGAAGGAAGGAAGGAAGGAAGGAAGGAAGGAAGAAGCCTATTGAGATACCACAGTTTTGTAGTCTCAGCGCTGGGCAGGTGAAGAAGAAGAGGTCTCCCTGACCAGGTGGCCTAGCTGACAGTGATGAGTCTGCTTCAGAAACCAAACTGGGTGGCACCTGAAGATGACATCTTTGACCTCTGTGAACACCTGCATATCCGTAAGAACACCCTTTACACACATACACAGAGAGAGAGAGAGAGAGAGGGAGAGAGAGAGGGAGAGAGAGAGAGAGAGAAAGAAATACCAAGATGCTAGACTTTACAACATATAAACGTAATCATACAAAATGTCTATATTTGCATATATGAATATGTATTAAAACTAACAGAATTTATATGTTAACAGTGGTGATTTTTGTAGTTGAAACTGCGGCCAGCCTACCCAAGCCGCAGTTGCCCTGCCCCTGGTGCCCAGACTAGCCTGCCACATGCTGCAGGCACTTCCTCCCTGAGCCAAGCCACCAAGCCTGCCTCAATGCCCAAAGAGGGTTACAGAGAGACATCTGACCCAGAGACACCAATGAGGAAAGGACAATGTAGCAGAGTCAGCTGCCTGAGCCAATGGGACCTTGGGAACGGTATAAAGGCAGGTCTAACTTCCTTAATAAACGAGTCAGCAGCATGCTCTTCTACTCACTGACTTCGGGTGCCTGAGTCATTGGTGCTGTGTCTTCTCACCCCCTCTCCCCCAAGGGGTGTCCAAGAAGGGTAACCAGCAACAGATTTTCATACATGGGACTACAGAGTACAGAGTATTTTTAACGTGTGTGTGTGTGTGTGTGTGTGTGTGTGTGTGTGTGTGTGTGTGTGTACAGATATATATAATTTTGTATCAGTGTTTTGGAGACAGGGTCATGTTACATAGCCCAGTCAGACCTGGAATTTGCTATCCTGCTGCCTAAACTTTGGTTATTACAGACAGGTACCACCTGCCCAACTTCCAAATCTTTATGCTAAGCCCAGAAGTGTCTTTGTAAGCAGAAGAAAGGTTATATAGAAAAAAGTCAAGTTGCTCTCAAAAGCAGCAGGTATCTCCACTGTAAAGGTTTTTTTAGAGGAGTGGGGGCAGGGTTGTTTTTGTTTTTGTTTTAGATACAGGGTTTCTCTGTAGCTTCAGAGCCTGTCCTGGAAGGATATCTCCATTGTAAATGTAGATGTTGAACAAGGAATTGACAATAGGGCTGGAAAGATAGACTCATGGTGTGTGGACAGCATTTGAGTGGTACAAATATGCCTACAAGTAAAACATCCATACATATAAAATAAAAGCAAATAAATCTTAAAAAGAAATGGGCTGGACGATGATGACACAAGCTTTTAATCGCAGAATTCCGGAGACAGAGGCAGGTAACTCCCAGTGAGTTCAAGGCCAGCCTGGTCTACAAAGTGAGTTCCAGGACAGCCAAGACTGTTACACAGAGAAACCCTGTCTCGAAAAACAAAAAGAAAAGACTTGATGTAAAAGGCGGGAGTTCAGACTTTGAGTGGGAAGCTGTGGAAGAAGGCACAGAGCTCAACAGTTCTCTATGGTTTTCTCCATCAGACTTCCCAGAGTTATTTGACTTTAAAATTGTATTTACACATGCATACATAGATGTGTATTTAAGGTAGGGTCTTGCTATAAAGTCCAGGATGACCTGGAACTCAAAATCCCCCTGTCTCAGACTCCCAAGCACTAGGGTCACAGATGTGCACTACCAGAGCCAGTTTGAATGACTTACTGATTTATTTATTTTGAAGTGTTGGGAGTTAAAACCAGGGCCTCAGACATACCATGAAAGTGTTCTGCCACTGCACAATGCCCCAGCATGTCTTCATGCTTAAATAACAAGACAAACTTGAGGAAATGAAATTTATAGGAAGAATGGTGTCATAAGCAAAGTCAAAGACACTTCTGAACACTCCACCACAGTCTTGGGGAAGCCAGCAATAGAGGGCAGAAGAATGTTGGCTGGAAGGGATTACATGGGTTCAAGTGATGTCACAGTCCCATAGGCTGGCTGGGAAGTATGAGGGTACACTCCTCAGATCACCAGCCCTAGTTCCAGATGCAGCTTTTCCATTATCTGAGCCATTCACTGAACTCGTTTGGGTTTCCCTCCTCTTGTCTGTCAGTGTGATCTGGTACTGGGTCTATCATTGGTTTCTCTGGCCTGGAAAATAAATGGAGCTGAGACACAGACCACCAGTGTTTAAGCACACTGCTCCTTTCTGGGACTAGGCACGCAGCCTCTGTGTGCACACAGCCTTTCCTCATCCCTCGGTTTCAGGTGTCCTCCCTCAGGACGTGTTGCAAGATTGACTAATACACAGCAGTGTCTCAACACGGTGATGTGCACTGCAGGTGCTGGGAGCTCCAGAGCCACAAAGCATTTAAGTGGCACCCATCACTTTGACCTCAGACCACCTGTGTCGTGATCTGGACTTCTTACCACCACAGCCAGTCCCAGACTACATCCAGTTCTTTGCCCAAGGATGGGAAAACATTCGCATGAGTGGATTAACACTCCTTTGTCAAGGCAGCAGCAAGCACCTTCTTCAACAGCCCCCTTTCTCTCCCTGAAGCCCCTGAAATCACTGTCTGCAGAAAAAAGACTGACCAGCTTCCTCTTTCTGACCCTAGAAATTAATTTGGGGATGGAGGAGGAGTGTTTAGTTTTGCCTTTTTTTTTTTTTTTTTTTTTTTTTTTTGCCCTCCAAACAGGATTCCTCTGTGAAACAGTCCTGGCTTACCTCTGCCTTGCCTGTGCTGGGATTAAAGGTGTGTGTGCATCACTATGTAAAACTATGACTCTTGTTTTACATTCATGGGTTAATTCTTGGGGTTTCCCCATTCTAGTTTCCCTCTTTCTGTGTATGTGGTGTGTGCACCGCCCCCCCCCCCCCCCCCCCGCCCCTGTAGAGGTCAAAGGATAACTTTTGGTAGTCCGTTCTCTCCTTCACTCAAGGTGGTCAGTTTGGTGGTGAGCATTTTTATCTGCTGAGCCATGACTCCACTTCCAGATTTCAGATAGAATATGTACCTTGTAGGACCCCTCCCCACCCACCTACCTACCCACCTACTCACCTACCCACCTACCTACCTATCTAATTTCTCTGGGAACCAAAATGAACTTTGGGCTGGGCTGGCAGGAGCTCATTAGTCACACTGGAATCCTATGAAACTTTTTCCCCCATATTATTATTTTTTCTGTTGTAGCGATGGAACCCAGAGCCTTGCAGCTGCTAGACAAGCAGTCCAGCTGCGTTATATCCCTCAGCCCAATTCCAACGGCGTTAAATCCCCTCTATGTGGGTGAGATGAGATGGCTGTTGCCTGGGCAACCCGGGGCAGGTTGGCTCCCACGCTGACCATAGAGGAGCCGCTCCTCCCTGCAGGTGTGTGTGCGTTTGTGTGTTGGAAAACATCTGTGAACCTGTTGCGCTGCTTTCCATGGGTCAGCCTGGTCTCTCGAGCACGTGATCTGGAGCAGGTGATTTCCCTAGATACTCAGCCGGGCTGCGGTGTGGGGGGAGTGGGAAGCTAAGGCTGCAGCCGGAGGAACCCCTGGTGATCCCTTCCTGTCACTGCCTAGCTGAAGTGTCTCTACTAGTGCCATCGGGTCAGGCTCCTAGCTACCCCACAACTCCAGGCTGAGCCCACGTGCGGAAGGGACGTTGGATCCCCGCGCCGACTAGTGTCCCTTCTGTACCCTGCCTGTGTGGTGCCTGGCCGGAGCACGCTCTGCGAGTCCCGGGTCCCCAGCAGCGCCACACGGACAAGGACACCTAGGGAGGCGGGCAGCCCGTATGCAAATATCTGAGGGGCTCACTGTTGGGTTGCCCCTCCCGCTGGGATAAAAGACGGGGCGGGGCGTGCACCGGACCAGAGAAGCCGCTGCCTCCCGGGAGCCGGCTGTGCGCTCCGGCCGAGCCTCCCGCCCCGTGTCTCCGCGTGTCGTCTACAGCCCAGACAATCTCCCGTCGCTCCTGGTAAGGACTTGTGGCCGAGTGGCGACAAGAGTCAGGGGTGGGGATCGAGCTGCTGAGACAGCCAGGGGCGTCAGGAGTGCCCCCCACCCACGTCGGGTCTTTACCTCCTTGTGTCCCCGTGGCCCGGGTGTGCACTTTCCCAATGGGAAGGTGGGAAACCGGCGCCCACGCAGCACTCTCCCCGGCTTAGCAGGTGGCATCTCCCCAGGAGCTAGCTGCGCACTAGCCAGTTTGTCCCCAGGCAATATGCAGTCAGGTTCAGAAAGAACAGCCTTTAGTTTGTGCAAGGTTGGCAGGGACAGGCAGGGTCTCAGGTGAGTTTGAGATGGAGGGAAGGGGCTCACGCTATCCCGTGGTGATTCAAGTTTCTGCAGATGTCCCAAGACGGGATGCGCTAGGGAGGTGACAGGAGCGGAGAACCCGCCTGGGAAGGTGTGTGGATGTGCCCACGTTTGAATGAGCAGTACAAGCCGAGGCCCCTACATCCCTATGCAACGTTGAAACTGCTGGTTGTGCCGGCCCAGCAAGCTACCTGGCCCTACAAAGAGCCATCTCCCTCAGCAGGAAAAAAAAAAAAGGACTAGTAACCCTTTGAAAAACTGCTTTGAAGTTTGTTTCTAAAGTTAATTCTAGTTTAAACCAGCTGAAATCTGGAGTTTGACCTGATGTTAAAATAGTGTGGGGGAAAAAAATCCCTTGTCTCCCATCTCCATCCACCCTTCCTGGATTCCATAAAATACAATATGCAAAGATGGAGAGTATCCTCCCAGAAGGCTCCATGCCTAGTTGACTGTCCGCCCCTCTTAGAGCTGCTGTGCACTGGAGCCCAGGGAGTGCAAGGAACACAGGCTGGGACCAATCAGAGCACCTAGAGAGGGTGGACCATGAGCCTTCTCGGTGACCTGGGGCTTCCCTGGCGGGGACAGACATAACGCTTAGGGGACAGATGGGTGTCCTTAGAGCTGCTGAAAAATGCACAAGAAGGTCAAAGCCAGGCATGACAAACAGAAAGGTGGCAGGACCCGAAGAGGATTAATTCTGAGGTAAGGAAGGGCAAAGTAGACACCTGACACATCTCCACTCTTGTTTCTGTTTGTGCACATTTGTCTTGGTGCCTGTTGGTAACCAGATAACTGGAAGAATTAGAAACATGTCTGAGTTTTGGCTTATTTCGGCCCCTGGCGATAAGGAAAACTTACAAGCTCTGGAGAGGATGAACAGTGTAACCTCAAAGTCCAACCTGTCCCACAACACCAAGTTTGCCATCCCTGACTTCAAGGTAAGAGCCCCAGAGAGGAGGGAGGAGGTTATGGATGGGAGGAGGGCAGGGATTTCTGAGCAAGGAAGTGGTTTCTCCGAAGCCAAGGAGAAGGACGTAGGGCAAATGTAGGAATGATGAAGAGAAATAAGCCTGAGTTAGAGGGTGGACAGGGGGTGTCAATGGGACTTTATGTCATAGTCCCAGATTAACTGTGACCCTCTGGACTTGAAGCCACAGGTAAGCATGAATGGGGCAGGCCATGGTGGGTAGACTGTGGATGGAAAGTAGAAGAGATCCTTAGGAGTGGAGCTCGGAGTCTTCTGTTTTGTCTGCAGCATCTGAACAGACCCAACACATTGTTGAATGTGTGATTTGGGAGGCCTTCAGCTTTGATAGTTTTCTTGACCTAGAGGCAGTCCAGGAAGCCCAGGACCTTTCTGATTCTGTTGGAGGGGGAGGAAGGGGCTGCAGTGGGGGTTACATAGGGGGGGTGGTTCTGAGAGGGCTCTTGTAGTGGATGGGGAGGTGAGGATGAAACAAATGTTAAAGATGAGCAAGATAGGAACAGTCTTTTTTTTTTTTTTTTTTTTTTTTTTGGTTTTTCAAGACAGTGTTTCTCTGTGGCTTTTGGAGGCTGTCCTGGAACTAGCTCTTGTAGACCAGGCTGGTCTCGAACTCACAGAGATCTGCCTGCCTCTGCCTCCCGAGTGCTGGGATTAAAGGCGTGCGCCACCAACGTCCTGCTTGGAACAGTCTTTTTTTTTTAATTATTTTGTTTGTATGAGTGTTTTTGTTTGCATGTATGTTTGTGCACCCCCCTGTGGAGGACAGAAGAGAACATCAAAGACCTTGTAACTGGAGCCATGTGGGTGCTGGGTGTAGAACCTGGGTCCTCTGGAAGAGCAGCCACCACTCTTAACTATTGTGCCATCGCTCCAGCCCCCAGGAACGATCTTTTTCAAAATGATTAGGCCAGGCATGGTGGCTCACACCCATAATGCTTGCACTCTAGAGGCAAGCTAGATGATTACTATAAATTCTAGGCCAGCCTGCAAAAGGAGTTCCAGAGCTAAATTGTGAGACCTTTCCCCCAGAGAGAGGGGGCTGGGAGGAGACAGAGGGAGGAGGAGGCTTGGGCTACAGTCAGTCCCTACAGCCATGTAAAAAGCCAGAAGTGAGCACCTGTAACCCTGCACTGAGGAGCAGACCCTTCTTTCCTGTATCTCTGAAAAGACCCTTCAGTAGGTCCTTGGACACTGTGTTTATTTCTATATTAAGAAACAGACCCTGAGTAATCTGAAAAGGACATCTATAAACTGAGCTGTGTTCAGGCCACCGATAGTCCTTCCTGGGAAAGAGCTGTGTCAGCTTGTTCTGTGGCCATCCTGTCTCAGAAAACACAATTTTAAAAAAGGAAGCATGTTTGGATCCCTAGCATCTACATCAGGTTTCACTGGTGTGCACCTGTAATCCCAGCACTGGGCAAGCAGAGACTCTGGTCATCCAGGCTACCTGAACTGGTAAACTCCATGTGTCAGTGACTCTGTCTCAGAAAACAAAATAGAAAGAAATTGAAGAAGATACCTATGTTGACCTCTGATCTCTACATGTATAAGTATCTGCACACATGTGTATATATACAATACACACTGACATGTACATACCACACAGATAATAATAATAAAATTAAAAAGATAGGCTTTTGTTGATGTTGTTTTTCGAGGCAGGGTTTCTCTGTGTAACAGCTCTGGCTGTCCTGGAACTCACTCTGTAGACCAGGCTGGCCTTGAACTCACAGAGATCTGCCTGCCTCTACCTCCTGAGTACCGGGATTAAAGGCATGCACTACCACCATGCAGCTAAAAAGGTAGTTCTTAATCTTAGTATTTTCCCAAAGTGTTTTCCTACCTTTCAGTCTGGCTGTTAGCTAAAGACATCCAACTCGAAGTGAAGTGAGTGCTCTGCACAGCTGTGAAAAGGACACCTTACACCAGAAAGCACATGAACTTAATTCCTGTATGGTCTTTTCTAGGTTGGGACCTTGGATTCCCTTGTTGGTCTCTCTGATGAGTTGGGGAAACTCGATACCTTTGCTGAAAGGTAAAACATTTCTTATTTACTACACACAAGTAAGAATTTGACATTGTTGTCAGAGCACACAGCAGTCTTGCTTTGGAAAAACCAAAGTATGACTTGTCTAAACCTGGTCTAGGGAGCCAGAGGAAAGAACCAGTGGGTCCACCTGGGGGTGTTGTGTCAATAGTGCTGAGTCCTTTGGGTCCCTTATTTATTTTTTATTTTTTTGAGACAGCTCCTCCTTCCTTCCTCCCCCTCTTCCTTCCTTCCCCCTCCCTATCTCCTTCCTTCCTTCTTTCATCCCTCTTCTCTCTCCTTCTTTCCTCTTCTCCCCTCCTTTTGTTCTGAGTCTCAGTAAGTTGCCCAGGTTGGCCTTGAACTAACTGTGTAGCAACCCTGGCCGCCTTTAAACTTCTTCAGCATGCTCAGTGCTGGCCAAGGCACCATGTCCGCCTTCAGTTTGTTTTTTTAGTAATGTATGTACATAAGAAAAAATTCAAAACAAAAATAAGACTACAGAGTGAAAATTAAGTTTTCTTTGCATCTGTTTGCCTCCTCCTTGTTCCCTCATCACCTCATTTCCTCTCTCTTAAAGCTTTGTTATCGTAAGTTAGTAGGTGAGGCTTCCAGAGATAGCCTATGAAAGTATGAGTTAATATGTGTATAGTCTGAAGCCCAGCACTCTGGAGTCTGAGGTCAGAGGACTGTTTGAGTCCATGAGTTCAAAACCAGCCTACTCAATATAGCAAGATTTTTTTTTTTGAGGCAGGGTTTCTCTATGTAGCTTTGAAGCCTATTCTGGAACTCACTCTGTAGACCAAGCTGGCCTCGAACTCACAGAGATTCATCTGCCACTGCCTCTCGAAGGCTTGGATTAAAGGCTTGTGTCACTACCACCAGGCCAAGATTTCTTTTTTGTTCATTTTTGTTTTTCCAGACAGGGTTTCTCTGTACCAACTCTGGCTGCTTGAGATTTGCTTTGTAGACCAGGCTGGTCTTGAACTCAGAGATTGACCTGCCTCTGCCTCCCTAGTATTGGGATTAAAGGTGTGTGCCACTATGCCTGCTCCCAACACAACATGATTTCAATACAAAATAATAAAAGCTGGATGAGGTGGCAGTTGCCTGTAATCTCAGCACTTGGGAGGCAGAGGCAAGAGAGTCCAGAACTCAAGGTCACCCTCTGCTTAGCAAGTTTGAGTTCAACCTAGCTACTTGAGACTGTCTCACAAATAGAACTGTATCGTCTTAGAATAATTGTCTATAAGTAGTATATTCTGCTCTCTATATAATAACATACAGTGTGTCCTGCTTTTTCCTCCTTTTGCATAATAATATACCTCAGCAAAAGTTTCATGTAGCTCATGACTGTGGGTTTGTTTGGTTTTTCTCTGGGTGTGTTACCTTGAGCAGTTGTACTCTCTCTTTATTGTTGGAAGTTTACATCTTCTGGTCTTTGACTGTTGCCAACAGTACACTGATGACTGTATTCCTGATGTACTTGTAGGAGTGATGTAAGTGGAGATATGGGCTCAGAGAGTCTATGCTCATACAATTGTAGGTATGGCCCCTATTCCCCCTAGAAAAATTATTTATCCCATTCATACTCTCACCAAATGGCCTCAGAACTGGATTTTCTTATCCTTGATCAGTCTTTTGCTCTGTGAGGCAGGTTGGCTTAATATAGGTGGAAGCAACCCTTGTCACTGTCATTTGCAAAGCTATGAGAAGAAATTAGCCATGAAGTTAACCATGAGACAATAGTAGCTATTGCTCTGCTCTTGTGGATGAGCAAAGGGGAGAGATGTAATGCCAGCCTTGAACCTGGGGAAATAATGCCACCCAGGAAAAAGGAGCAGAGTACCCTGTGCCAACTTCCTTTTGAGACTGCTCTGTGCCACATAGAAGCCTGACCAGTTTTAGGTAATTCAAGTCCAACAGTCAAATCAGATGATCTATGCCGAAGCAAAGACCCCCCAGAGCAGCTCCCTGCCGTAGACCGCCTCAAGCTTTCAGCTTTTCCTCTCCAGGCAGACTGCAGTATGAGGCTGTGCAGCACTATACATCTGGCATAGGAGACGTGGGCTGTTTCCCGCCTGGCTGCAGAAATGACAGCTCTTCAGCGGTTCCTTTTTCTAGACCTTATTACCATTAGTTGCCCCTCTGCACACACTGTTAACTCCTCCTTCACTCACTGAAGCCCACCCAGAGAGCACTGAGAACTCTGATACGGGATGATTTTGGCTTTCAGGTTATTTTTGTTTGTTTGTTTGTTTGCATGCTATTTCCTCCTGATAGGCATTCATATTTTGTCCTGTCCATCTTGATTGCACAAGTCTCCCCTGATGGTAATGCAGCATGTACTTAAGAAACACAAGAATACACATGCTAACAGGGTGAGGGCTAACACAGATGCCATAAAACTGTTGTTCAAAGCAGAGGCCAGGTGCGGTGGGGGATGACAGTTTATTTGCACCAGGTATTGTTCCCGGCTTCCTGGTTTGCATGCTTTCCCAGGCACTTTCCTACAGGGGAATAAGGACAGTTGAGTGCTGTGAGCACACTCAAATACGATCTCATTCAAGGCAGGTGTCTTGCCTTAGGAGCCTGTCAGTACTGGGCTCTAGTTGTAAGTCCTCCAGTCTTTGGAATGGCTGCCCCAGTTCTTTGAATAGTACTCAAGTATTACTAGATAAAGGCATGCTAGCTGGATCTGTAAGCCGTGCAGCGGGAACCTGCCAGCACTGCCTCTGGCCAGGGGAGCAGAGAAGGGACAGTTTTCAAGGTGTATTGTTTCCATATCCTTTTATTATTTATTTACTTGGGCACCAGAGTGTTTTTCCATGTAGCTGCAAGGCTCCTGCTTAGGAGAGCTCTGTTTTTAGAAAAGTTTATTCCTTAATGCTGCCTGTGTTAGTTCTCTCTGTAAATCATTGGATAATGACATTTAAGAAACCCAGTGACTTTACCTTTAAAAGCCCCCCTTCCCTTTAAATAGTTAAGTCCTTCACAGATCCTTATCCTGTTCTGTGGTGCCAGTTGGTACACTGCATTTCACAGGCATATTGTCCCACGTGGCCACTCAGCCGCGCCTCGTGGGCTTCTCCCATACATCGTTGACTGCCACTTGCCCTTGGGTGTCTTTTTCTTTTCTGGGTATGGTTCCATGAAGTTGTCTAAGAGTTGACTGATCAAAAATTACATACATGGGGGTGACTGTCTGCGCAGCAACGCTAGAGTTCTCATGAGGACATCATGAGTGGATATGGACTAGAATCCTAAAGAGGTTTCTAGGCGTCCCATCTCTGGCTGTGTGACCTATGACTTCTAACCTTTTTAACTTTTGCATATAACCTTGTTCCCTTCTTCGTTTGGGTGCTTTTCTTTGCTTTTTTCGAGAAAGCATATTGAATTGCTTGCTTAGTTCAATTTTTTTATTATATTTATTTGTTTATTTGTTGTGTGTTAACACATAGGTCAAAGGATAATTTTTGGGAACCTATTTTTTTTTCCACCATGGCCTCAGAGATGGAACTCAATTCGTCTGGTTTAACCACTGAGCCATTTTAGGAGCCTTTGTTTATTTTGTTCTTTTGAAATGTCAAAAGCAATGAACTTTTCCTCTATATACTTATGCTTTCAATTTTAATGTGTGTTGTTTCATTTTTAACTTATGTATTCTGTAGTTTTTAATCCTTATATTTTTGAAAGTTTAATTTTCTAATTGTTATTTCTGCTTTTTTCATTTTTTTATTCTGTTGCTGTGTTGTTGTTAAACACTGAATCAGGATATGGGCAGTGGTGGTGCATGCCTTTAATCCCACTACTTGGGAGGCAGAGGCAGGAGGATCTCTGTGATTTCCAGGCCAGCCTGATCTACAGAGCGAGTTCTAGGACATCCAGGACTATTACAAAGAGAAAGTCTGTCTTGAAAAACCATTAAAAAAAAAAAAGACTGAATCAGGAAATATTTCTACCTTTGAGAATTTGAAATTTTCTTTGTGACTTGACCTACTGTTGATTCTTTTAAAAAGATTTGTTTTATTAATTGTGTGTGTGTGTGTGTGTGTGTGTGTGTGTGTGTGTGTGTGTGTGTGTTTGTTTTCTTATATGCCGGTGAAGGCCAGAAGAGGGTGTCAGATTTCTAGGAGCTGGAGTTACAGGCAGTTGTGAGCCATCTACAGGGTTTCTGGAAAACAAAGGAGTCTTCTGTGAGAACAGTATGCTCTCTTAACTGCCAGGCTATTTCTCCCTTCCTCACATTTGTTTTATGAGACAGCCTCCTTACATAGCTCAGGCTAGCCTTGAGCTCCTCTAGTCTTACTGCCTCAGCCCTTCTGAGTGCCAGGATTATATCTGTTTGTGCCACTAGGCATGTCCCTTGTTTCTTTCCTATGGTGATAGACTATACATTCCATTTTATTATAATTAACACATTGAATAAGTTAACCATCTTTGTTGTGTTAGGTATTGCTTTCATCGTTAACATAACTCTATGGTTTTAATTATCCTAAAATTATACCCCCAGATTGCAATTATTAGTTCTCTTTGGGTTTGATTCCTAGTAACACACACACACACACACACACACACACACAGAATTACACAGGCAAATGCCATGGCATATTTAGGCTGTTTGTACACATTGCCAAACTGTCCCTGTGGGGTGTCAAGAGGCCCTTTCTTCATCCCCATTGGCTAAGTGCCCTTGAGAGACTGCCCATTCACCTGGCAGAAGGAGGAGGCTGTGTGATTGTTTTCATGAGTATTTCTTGGATTCACGGCCAGACTAAACATCTTCAAGTGCCTATTAACCACCTGTAGTTCCGCTTTCATGCTTCGCCTGTTTCCGTGTTTGTTCATGCAGCCCCTGGACACCTCCCCAGGGTGCCGTCACCTTGTTTGTCCTGGAGCCTCGCACCATCACACCAGTTTTTTTTGTTTTTTGGTTTTTGGTTTTTTTGAGACAGGGTTTCTCTGTGTAGCCTATCCTGGCACTTGCTCTGTAAACCAGGCTGGCCTCA